GGCGCGCCACCGCGTCGCTGGGCGAGGGGACACAGACAGGCTGGCTCGATCCGTGACGGCCGAGCAGGAAGCCGGAAGAGCCGTCGGGCGCCCACCCGGCGTCCAGCTGCCCCTGGGCCCTGCGCGCTCCGGCCTGGGGCGGGGAGGGCGGCGGGGGCGGCGGCCTTCGGCTGCCCTTCCGGCTCCGGACTCACCCAAGCACGTTGGCCAGCGGGACGCGCACCACGATTCACCGCGCCGACGTCTCCGGTGGGCCCTGGAATGCGCCGCACGGAGAGTTTGGTGAGTCCTCGCTTTCTTCCCAGCCCAGAGCTGCGGAGCCGCCGTGTCTCTGCGGTGCAGTCGGTAAGCGCGTCCGGCTGTTAACCGAAAGGTGGGTGGTTCGAGCCCATCCAGAGACGTGCGTCTCCCTTCCCTGCTCCAGTTGCGGATGGACACAGGGAGCACGTTTTGTCTTCCTGGATGACTAATACTCCCTAATCCGGGCTACGTAAGTACCCACTTCTGGGGCCATGGAATTTTTCGATCTGCCCTTCATAGGCTTGGACAAGAAGGCACACTGTTTTGTGCCTCAATTGTCTTTTCATGTATAACAGGAGGCACAGTGGCAGCCTATCTCCAGGACTGGCTTGGATTAAGTGTTTGCGCTATCAAGAATTTGTAACCAGTGGCATCATTCATCACCATCATGGTCCTCTTCATTATTTTTTAAAACAGCCTTTCTTCCTCAGTTTGTGCATGATTTGTTTAACTCTTCAAAATGCTTTGTTATGAGGTTGGTTTCATGGTTTTAGGATTACGGATAATACTGCAGTCATTCTTGTACCCATATCTTTGGTCAGTGGTGCAGATATTTCTATAGTGTAAATAACAATGTGCAATTGATACCTTATAATTTGTATATAATGCTTCTCATTAGAGTTGATTCTGCACATTTATCTTCCACAGGAGCTGTACCACATCCTATTCTAATTGAGTCCCAAACTCTATGGATGTCCCGTTCATCATTTATTTCTCATCACGACAACCTTTCTGGTACAACAAAGTATCTTCTCATGATATTCTAGTAAGGGCAGTGGTGGCATCCTGGTTTAACCAAGAGAAGGTATAGCAAAAGGACGTGGTGGACATTACACAAAGGTACTCTGTTGCATATGATGGACAACGAAACTTGTAAGATATTTCAAAGTCCTTCTAAATCTGTAAACCTGTTTAATGGTGACCAAGTCATGCAGGTCCAGAGTGAACTGTTTGACAGTTTTCTGCCAACTCTCTTATCCAAGGGGAGGAAAATCACAATGGTCCCAGACATCTCTCTCCTCCTCTTTCTTCTTTTCTTGGTGCTGGCTTTCCCCCCTATACAATGGTGAATTAGCATGCAGACAACTGTCTCTATATTGTTCTTTGACAGATTTTTGTAGGACCTATGTCCATAAAAATCAGCCCATCTGACATACATCACTGGCGCCAATCGAACCCCGCACCCAACAGGCACCTGGTGCAGACCTGGCCCTTAGAGCTCTTGGCTCATGTTCCCGGTTTTTTTTGTTGAATCTCATGGGCAGAAATTGAGCTCTGTGGCTGTTATATATTAAGTAAGGTTATTGGACAAGTCTTTATCTCTTTCTCTTCTCTCTCTTTGTTTCTCATTTTCACATCATTGTTTTCTGCATCAGCATAGGTTTCTGGTTTTGATGTTTTGCTGTGAACTTCCAGTGGCAATCCCTGTTGGGTGGTGGTTGACAGGGATTCATTCCCTGATTAGTGGCCCATGTCAGCTAGTCTAGTCTGTGCGTCTTTTTATTGTCTATTTATTTTCCTGAGGATTTTGGTATTTCCTGATATTTGATATTGAAGCAATGAGAAGTTCCCATCTTATCTTTCTAATGTTTGGTAAAAATCTTATGGGCCCAATAGTTGTCTATATTTGCAAGAGTGGCCTATCTGTAATAGGGATGACCTTAATGCACAATAGTCCGCTGCTCCCTCTTTGTTCCAGAGGAGCTCTTATCTAATGTTGGTGAGTTTTAATGATACCTCAATAAACTGGACTTAAATAAAACAAAAGATTCATATTCCCAAATTTGGGCAGAATGGGAACACTGAAAACTATCATTCATTTCTGGTAGAAGCACAAATAAGTTAAAAAACTTTGGAAAGTTGTTTGGCAATATCTACCAAAGGCCATACATATATATTGTGACCCAGCAATTCTGCTTTTAGCTATATACCTTAGACTTGTCCTGCCCAACATGATAGCTACAAACTTCATGTAGCTATTGGAAACCTGAACTGTTGCTAATGTCACATGTTGTAATGATAATTTTTAAACATATTGAGTTGAATAAAATGTTGTTCGAATAAATTTCACCTCTTTCTTTTTACTTTTTAAAACATACTAGGAAGTTTAAAAGTATATATGTGGCTGGCATTGTATTTCTATTGGAATGTGCTACCTCAGAGAAATGTGTGAATTTACCAAAAGGCATGTAAAATAATTTTCATATTTATTCAAAGTATTCCCAAACTGGAAACAATTCAGATATCTGAGGAAAGAAAAGACCTTTTATCTGAGGAATATGAGCTCTTTCCAATTATTAGACCCAATGAGACATTAAAATGAGACAGCAATCACGTCCTGCTTCCTCTGGAGCTATGTATTTGTCTGTTGAAGCTGTTTGCTGTTACCACAAGTGGCTATGAATTAACCTAATAAAGCCGCATTGGACACTACATATTACACTCTACTCCTTGATAATGTATAGCCAATTACTAATCGATGTTATTTCTCAATGAGAATTCCTGACAGACAACTTTTTATCAGCCCACTCCCCGTCCTCATTTTTTGCCTTTAAAAATTTGTTTGTAACAAAAGCCAAACGGATCTCATACCCAGTGTTATTTGGGTGTGAGTCTTCTAGGCAGCTGTCCTCACGTTGGCTAAAATAAACTCTTTAAACCATATTTTGCTAGAGCCTCTTTCCTTTAGGTCAATATTTCCTGCTCTGTGAGCAGGATTCAGAGTGAGTCACCTCCAACTATCTGATTGTCATCCCAAAGACCACCATGACGGCTAAAAATGGAAAGGAGAGTTTTGCTGGCAATATCAGTTTGCAATCTGGGAAGAGAGAGTCACCAAAGGTGCTCTCTCTTCAAAGAAGGGGCAGATTGGTTTTTATGCCTCACAGGGTCTGTATTACACACCAGAGTCATACATATTATAGCACACTTACCTGGACTTCACTTGGGTTTGTTTTTATCTGTGGAGATATCCACGGGCCTATAAATGTCTAAGGGCATGGAATGATGAAAGGCAACGTCTTTTAAGACATTTTCTCTAAAATAGATTGCCGATCTATTTTAGATGGAGATTCTATTGGGAGAAAACCTGATAATTATCTGCTTTGTGATCAGAAAGATACCTCCATGCATTTTGGCCTTGGTGGGGGTGTTGCTTCCCATGAACACAGTATTAGAAATCTCTCTCTCTCTCTCTTTTTTTTTTTGAATCAGAGTCTCACTCTGTTACCCAGGCTGGAGTGCAATGGCATGCTGCTCACGGCCCACCCAGCCTCGACCTGCTGAGCTCAGGTGATTCCTCCACCTCAGCTGGAACTACAGGTGTGTGCCACCATGCCCAGCTAATTTTTTATTTGCTGTAGCGACGAGGTCTCACTATGTTGCCCAGGCTTGTCTTGAACCAGCAGGCTCAGGCAATCCTCTCGCCTCTATCTCCCAAAGTGCTGGGATTATAGGTGTGAGCCACTGCACCTGGCTAGAAATCTTTTTAATCTTAATTTAATTCCAGTGATTTGGGAGGCTGAGGTGGGAGGATCACTTGAGATCAGGAGTTGATACCAGTCTCGACAATATAGGGACCTTGTCTCTATACAATTTTTAAAAATTAGGCCAGGTATGGTGGCTCAAACGTGGCTCAAACCTGTAATCCCAGCACTTTGAGAGACCAAGGCGAGAGGATTGCCTGAGCCCAGGGGTTTGAGACCAGCCTGGGCAACTTGGTGAGACCTCTTACTACAATATATCAAAAAATTAGCAAGGCGTGGTAGCGCAGGCCTGTAATTCCCTCTACTGGGAAGTCTGAGGCAGAAGCATTGCCTGAGCCCAGCAAGTTGACGCTGGGGTGGCCGTGAATGTGCCACTGCACTCCAGCCTGGGAGGCAGAGTGGGACTCTGATTAAAAAAAAAAAAAATTAGCCTGGCATGGTAACCTGTAGTCCTCAGTACTCATACTTGGGAAGCTGAGATGGGAGGATCATTTGAGCCTCAAAGTTTGAGATTATAGTGAACTGTGATTGCAACACTGCATTTCAACGTGGATGACAGAGCGGGACTCTGTCAAAAGGAAGAAAGAAAGTAAGAGAGAAGAAAGAAAGAAATAAAGGAAGGAAAGGAAAAGAAAAGAATGAAAGGAGAGAAATATTAGAGATGAAACTGCCTCCTCTTTTGCAGCTAACCCAAAAGCTATTAATTCTCTGGTTTAGGTTGCACTATATAATCACTTTGCTTTAGATTATAAACGGAGCAGGGAGGTGTGTGTGTGGTGGCAAGTAACTCTTGTTGTATATACATAAATAATTCTCATGAACCCTGTAGAGGCCAAGGGAGCACTTTCTCCTTGGCCTGCTAAAGGCTTGCTAAAAATTAACGGGCAGATTAATAGGAGAAAAAGCACACAAATTTATTTAACATGTACACATGGGAGCCTTCAGAATGAGGACCCAATTCCCCAGTGAGGTACAGAATCCACACAGAGACAAAAGACTACGTGAAAAACATGGATGAATTCCATGGACCTAATGCTGAGTGAAAGGCCATCAGGCCCCTCCCTCCTAAAAACCCACTACCCAGTTTATGATTTAATTATAATAATATGAATGCAAAGAGTACAAAACACTGACCTCTAGGGATCAATATGGGGGGGGTAGCTAAGTCTGTGGAGTATTGTCAGAGTTCAGAGTTGTATTCTAAGCAGTAAAAGTCATCAGTTAAGTTCCTCAAATAAAATGTTTCCCAGATATTTTGGTCAGCTTTGAACGATTTTGTTTCCGTCTTTGGAGAACGTGAAGTGCTCACATGAGGTTAGTACTAAGGCCTGGCACAGCTGTGGAAGAGCTGACAAAGTCCAACGCCCTGCGTGAGAGTTGTCCAGTCACCTGTGCTGGAGTAGCATATTTGTATACAGTAATGTATTTTGGGGGAAAACCCCTACAAGATTAATAAAATTAAATTGGACAACTGTCTTTATATCACCACTAATAGTAAAACCACAGAAGGACAGCAGATTTGCAGTCACCTGAGCAGTTTCTAGTTTTGTTTTTTTTTGGTTTTTTTTTTTCTTTTTCCTTTTTTTTTCCTTTCTAGAGTTAATTTTTGTGTATGG